GCCCGCAGCTCGCTTCAGTTTAGGGGCTTAGAATTTTGGGGCATTCCGAATGCCCCCAAAATTCTAAGCCCCTAAACCGGCGTTCCAGCAAGCCGCATCCCCGGCCCGGATGGTTGGAACTTAGCTTGGCCTTTGCGGGGCTCCTGTTAAGGAGTTTAGCTTACCCATAGGCACTAAAGTAGTNNTTCATACATAGAATCCTATAAGGTAATCCCCAAAAGGAACTACTACGGGGCCTATGGGTAGTAGCTACCATCGTAATTAACGGCTATTCACCATGACTCCAGTGTCGCGCCTTCCATAGAGCTTGAGAAGTAAGTTTAAGTTGAGCCACCAGAATAGGAAACGTACATCATTCACTATAGAGCAGCAGAAGTGATGGGCTGCCTTGAGCTCAATACCTCGACCCAACATGAACCTGACGCATGCTTTTGGAGCTTCGGGCTTTCTTGCATCACGAGCTCGCACTAAAAGAGCTGCCAGACAGGAACCCAAACCAAACCCAAAAGCCTAACCCTACATGTACCCTAAACCCTCAACCCTGAAAAGCCACAGTTTGGAAAGCCTCTGCCCACCTGTAAGCCAGCGAGGTCCGTGGCCCAAAGCATGGACTGCACGTGGTTGTACCTCTGACCGACAAAAGCCGGTGTTGCTGCCTGGTTCGACATCGTTATCCCCACAAGCTTCACCTTCTTGGTCACACGGGAAGTGAAGAAACGAGACCAGTGAATCCGTGAAGTCATAGCCTGTTCCGGCAGAAAAGGACCACCGATGCCGCAGTTCAACAGAACGAAGCGATCGTAGCGCTTCAGATTCTCCGCGCCGATATACCGCAAGCCTATCCGGTATGCCTCGCAGGGTGAGCTCTAACGGTGCCGCTTCAGGGTTCTGTAACTTAATGACTATAGGTATGGCTTATGGTGTGAGATAGTACAAAAAACGGTTGTATTATAATTAAGGGGTTGCGACATGCCCGTTCCTCGAAGTCGTAGCAGTTAGGGCCGCGACGTAGCCAGGTCACCTTTCCACCGATGTCCACGCCAGGCTGAAACGCAGCGACATTCACCGAACGACCAACGACGACCAAGATCTCCACAAGAGCATCTGGACAAGTGGCATACCTATAGTCTCCATTGTAGCTTTTCTGGTTTACCTTATAGGATCCTACACATAGTACTGGTTATATCAAAAAACAGAAAGCCTAAACCCTAAACTGTAATGGAGACTAAAGGTACTTCAGAAAGCCTAAACCCTGAACCCTACTAAAGGTACTTCAGAAAGCCTAAACCCTAAACCCTAAACTGTAATGGAGACTAAACCCTAAACCCTAAAGCCTAATGGAGACTAAACCCTCAACCCCAAACCCTAAACCCTAATGGAGACTAAACGTACTTCATAAACCCTAAAGCCTAAACCCTAAACCCTAAACCCTAAGTCCTAAACCCCAAACCCTAAACCCTAATGGAGACGAAAGGTACTTCAGAAAGTATCGGAAGTTCCGCAGGTACATGGCGACCTTGGCCTTCCTGGTATCCACCGTGACAGGCCCCGAGTAGATCACGAGTGTCCTAGAAGGCTCGAGGGCTTTTTGTGGGTTGGGGGCTTTGGGCTTAGGGTTTAGGATTTAGGGGCTTTTTTTGGTGGGGGCATCGGGGTTAGGGTTTTTGGGGTTTGGGGTTTAGGGCTTTTGGGGTTTAGGGTTTAGGGCTTTTGGGGCTTAGGGTTTAGGGGCTGTTTTTGTGGGGGCTTAGCGTTTAGGGTTTTTGGGGTTTGGAGTTTAGGGCTTTTGGGGTATAGGGTTTAGGGCTTTTGGGGCTTAGGGTTTAGGGGCTGTTTTTGTGGGGGCTTAGCGTTTAGGGTTTTGGGGGTTTGGAGTTTAGGGCTTTTGGGGTTTAGGGTTTGGGGCTTTTGGGGTTTAGGGTTTAGGGGCTTTTTTTTGTGGGGGCTTAGGGTTTAGGGACAGCTTTCGCACTTACCCTTCCAGGCAACACATATCTCTTGCCTTAAATCCTTGAGCCCGGTAAACCCTAAATCTCAGAAGCCCTAAACCTTAAACTTCAAGTTCATGGAACCCCCGTTTCGAAACCCCTTTTTTTGAAACCCTCATGGGAACCCTCAAACCCCACTCGCTCCGGTGTGCGCCCGCGCGCCGGGCCCGGTTCAAGCGCTGCTCCCAGAGCAGCTGCAAAGCAGGATCTTCCAATTGCAACTCCTATAAAGGCGCGGCTGAGGGCTGGTAGGGCTTATGGAGTTCAGGGTTTGTAAGATTTGGGGTTTAGGGCTTGCAAGATTTGGGGTTTAGGGTTAGTAAGATTTGGGGTTTAGGGTTTATAGGATTTAAGGTTTAAGGCGTTGCAACTCCGGGTGGCGCTTCAGGGCTTGGGGGTGTGCAGGGCTCATAGGAGTTTAGGGGTTGAGGGCTTACAGGACTAATAAGGTTTCGGAAAAATCGATAGCTGGATGCGGGATATCGGCTTTGAAGGCTGGTACGTAGCCCAGTATATATGATGTTAGGTTTTTGGACCTTGACTATACCAGGATTTGTGAGGGCCTACGACGGCCTTTGCAAGGTTGCTTTTGTGTGTAGTGATGTATCGGTGATTCGAGGCTGGAAGCAGGGCTTACAGTTACTAACTGAGGCTTAGAGATCTACCTCCCAAAGGTTACCATGCGCACCACATGCCAAAAAAGCTGAGACGTATGCTACAGAGTCCCTTTTTTCCGCCCCCCTTTGCATTAACGAAATCCATATATCTTTAAGACTATAACATATGAACGTGCAGGTTTCAGTGACTGGGGTTTAGGGCTAAACGCGTGCACACACAGCCTGAACCCCGGAGTGCACAAACTAACCTTTATAAGGTTTAGGGTTAGGGTCTATAGGGCCCAACCCTACAACCTCTGAAGCCAGAACCCAGGCCCGAAAGATAGCCCAAATCCCAGCAAAACCCGCACTCCAAAATGCAAAACTTCAACTCAACCCGAAGACCTCGATAGTGGCACCTCATTTGATTGAACCCTAAACCCTAAACCCTAAACCCAGCTACATACAGAATCACTCAAGGCTTCGAGGGGAAAGCGCACCTTCCGCAGGTGGTTCATCTGAGCCCAACAGCTCGGCAGATGCTGAGGCGACCACGGATACCTCCAAGCATTTTGATAGTTTCGGGTTTAGGGGTTTAGGGTGTAGGTAGTCGAGAATGGGGGAATGGATCACTATGATAGTCCCCTAAGGTCCCTTATAGTAGTCCCTATAACCCCTTCCCCCATTCCCTACTAAGCACCGGACAGTCAGTTTAGGGTTTAGAGTTTAGGGGTTGAGGAAGTTTTTGTTAAGGCTTTGACAGACTTGTACAGGGTTCTAGGGTTCTGTTATTTTGGCTATGTGATGTCCGTTTTCATCGCGGGCCGCTGTTGTTAAGGCTGTTTAAGAGCGTTTCGATGTTTTTGTAAGACATGCGGGCTGCTGTTGTGAGGGCCTTTTAAGAGCGTTTCGATTTTTTGTAAAGACTTGTTGGTGCACTTGGTGCTTGTCTAGCTGCCTTCAAAATGTTGCACAACGCGAGTTTGGGCTTTCTACAAGTTTGGAGGCGGCAAACTTTAGTTGGCGCGGCCTTTTTCGGTTCAGGGCTTCGGGTTTCCGCGGCTTTAGGCCTCAGATTTCAGGGCTTCGGGTTCAAGGCTTGGGGTTTAAGGGTTTAGGGGTTTAGGGATTATATATGCGGGTATACAGTTTGGTGATGGTGTGCAATGCAAGAGCCGGGATAAGCGTGTTCTTGGGAGGCTCGCCCTTTATGGATCGATTGGTTTTCGGGACTTCAGACCGTTTTAGGGGTGCCTCTACGGCAGCTGGGGGCCAGCGTTTTGGATTCAACATGGAGTTCAAGGATGTTCACGGTGCAGGGTGCAGGGCCCAGTAGCCTGTAAGTAAGGTAACCATCTCACCCTCAACCTTAGACCCAAAGCTCAAAACCCAAAACCCTACAGACAAAACTCAAACCCCAAAATCCCAAACACAAAACTCGAAACCCAAAACCCTACACAAAACTCAAAACCCAAAACCCTACACAAAACTCGAAACCCAAAACCCTACACAAAACTCAAAACCCAAAACCCTACACAAAACTCGAAACCCAAAATCCTAAGCCAAAGCCCAAAACCCTAACCCGGCATGAAGTTTCGGCTGAGGCTCCGGAGTTCGACTTGGAGCTTCTGGGCTCGGGAACAACCTGTATCCCCAAACCCTACGAAATAGTAGGTTATGAACCCTTAATTAGAGGTTTTTTTTTTTTAAGTGTAGTTTTTAATTAGAGGGTTTAGGGTTTTGGGTTTAGGGTCTAACCCTTAAAACGGTAGGTTTTTGGATCCACAGGAAGAGATTGCGCTTTCAGATTCGTGCTGCGGTAAGAACCCTAGAAGCTTCTGGGTCTGGCAGAACAAAGCACTACCAAAAACTCTCAAGTCGTAACCCCAAACCCCACGCCCTAAACTACCCATAGGCCCTAAAGTAGTTCCTTTTTTGGGGTTCATATATAGAACCCGATAAGGTAATCCCAAACAGGAACTACTATGGGCCTATGAGTAGTTTGGGGCCAGTTTAAACCAACTTGTTACGCCGTAATCTTTAGGGTTTAGGGGGGGCCAGTTTAAGCCAAAGTTTGAGCCGAGATCCCTTGACTTAACTAGTTAGAATAGGATTTTGGGTATATTGTACTATAATTATAATAAGGAACACCCCAGCTAATAAGGGTAACTATTAAGGCCCCTACAAAGTAAGGCCAGGCGCCTGACAACAGGGCAGCCGCCTTCGCAAATCAAACCTGCCGTCTGAGACACTGCTCAGGATTGGGTTTAGGGCTTAGGGCTTTTAGGGCGTAGGGCTTTGGGTTTATAGGGTTTGGGGTTTAGGGCTTAGGGTTTAGGGCTTCGGGTTTATAGGGTTTGGGGCTTAGGGTTTGGTGTTTAAGGTTTAGGGTTTGGGGTTTAATAGGGTTTAGGCTTCATAGGGGCTGAGGGCTTGAAGTGCGTGGACTCTATGCGCAGCGGCTAAAATCTATGCTAAGACGGCGCCACGTAGAGACCATGCTACAGTTATTTTGGGGGACCATAATGGACCGTCTGGGCCATTCTACCCCCCTACTTCTCGTGGGGTTGAAGCGGTCTCTGGCTCGTACCCTACACCCCTAGCCCTCAAACCCCCCAAAAAAACTCTGGAAGAAACCCGACCAACCCCACAAGAACAAACCTTAAAATCCTAGATCCTAAACCCCAAACCCTAAACCCCTAAACCCCCGAAACCCCCGAAACCCTAAACCCCAAAACCCCCGAAACCCCTAAACCCCAAAACTCCCGAAACCCCTAAACCCCCGAAACCCCTAAAACGCAACGAAAGGGCCCAGCAGCTCGGATACTGGAGGCTGGCCCCGGTACCGCGCTTCGAACTCTCGTAGCTTTAGGGGCCCTAATGATTAGACTAAGGTTTCGGGGCCTGGGTTTAGGGTTTAGGGTTCAGGGTTTAGGGTTTAGGGTTTAGGTTCTACTGTAGTTATAAGAAGGAGCCCCCAAAACCCTACTCTGACTAGTATAAGGCCCCTACATTACCTTAACGAATTATTGAGGCCCCTGTACCCTAAACCCCTATAGTGGCCCTTATAGAACCCTTTAGGGGACGTAAAAGAACCCCCAAAACCCTAGTCTAATTATTAAGGCCCCTGTACCCTAAACCCTTATAGTAGCCCTTATAGACCTCTTTAAGGAGCCCTTTAGAGGAGCCCCCCAAATCCTATTCCAATTATTATTAAGAACCCCTACACTCTACAAACCCTTACATTATACTAGCCCTTATAGACCTGTTAAGCAGCCCTTTCAAGGAACAACCAAAACCCTATTCTAATTGTTAAGGCCCCTACACCCTAAACCCTTATATTATAGTAGCCCTTATAGACCTTTTTAAGCAGCCCTTTCAAGGAACCCCCAAAAACCCTCTTCTGATTATAAAAGGCCCCTACACCCTAAACCCTTATATTATAGTAGCCCTTATAGACCTTTGAAGCAACCCTTTCAAGGAGCCCCCAAAAACCCTCTTCTAATTATAAAAGCCCCTACACCCTAAACCCTTATATTATAGTAGCCCTTATAGACCCCTTTAAGCAACCCTTTAAAGGAGCCCCAAAAAACCCTCTTCTAATTATAAACGGCCATTACAGTAGCCCTTATAGACCCCTTTAAGGAGCCCTTTCAAGGAACCCCCAAAAACTCTCTTCTAAGTATAAACGGCCCCCACACAGTAGCTTCATAGAGGGGGAGCCCTTAACTCGAAAGGCCTCGGAGTCCCTTAGCCGCCGTTGCAGGACTTATGGGGTTTAGGGGCTCTTGGTTTTTTTCAGTCTGAGTGAGAGATTCTTGGGGGTTGTAGGATAAAAACCACCGAATTTTCGAAAGGCCTGAAGCCCGAAGTGCGAAAGAATCCCAAGCTCTCCTTCCCCCAGACGAGAAACCCATCCACCAGCTCTTGTTCTCAGCAGGCACGCCCTTCGCGGATGCCAGCACCTCCGGGGCTTTCGGGACTAAGTTCAGGGTGTTACCCACTTTCCGTCTAATTTCCTTGCGCAGGTCGTGACGAAGTCCACCAAACCAAGCACGCACGTGCATCACGCAGCAACTCTCTCTCTCTCTGTCTATATCTATATAAATATGCATATATATATATATATATACATGCATATCTATATATATATATATACATATGAAACCCATGTTGCATTCCTGCATGCATGCGTGTATGTGCTGTATCTGTATGTGTACAGATGGATGGGTGGATGTAGGGAGGGAGGGGAGGGAGGCAGGGAGGCACGGAAGGACGGATTGACGGACGGTTGCCTGTACACACACACAACCATACATACATATCCTTATCCATACCTGCACCTAAAGCCGAAATAAGCTGTACCAAGATCGGCAACCTTATAAGTATCTGTAGCTCTTTTTCATTCTAGATTTACGTCTACACGTACCTCTATGCTATTGTCTATGTCAGTATCTACACCCGATATCCACATCTATGTCTATGTGATACATATATATATATATACAATATACATACATACATATATATATATATATGTATATATGCATATACATATATATATATATATGTATGCATCTATAGAGAAAACACAGAAATGTGTGTGTGTGTGTATATATATATATACAACTTGTAAATTAATGTTTGTATGTATGTGTATATATATATATATATATGTGTGTGTGTATGTATGTACGTGTATGTATATATATATATATATATGCTTTGGATACACCCTATAAATGTATGTATATGTGCGTCTACGCACCTAATCAGAGTATCGTTTGCGTGCGTCTCTATGTGCCTGAACCTCCTCCGCCGGAACCATCGGCACAGAGAGCAGCGCGGCCCAAGCTCTTTCTGCAAAATCCTTCTCCATCTCACCGTGCCCCGACAAAGAACTACTCAGATGCTCCCAAATGCCCGCAACGGGCCCAAAGATCTGCGAGTACGTGGTCAGGAAAATATCACCGAAACAGACAGGGACAACCGTCCGATCCTTGTGGGGCACATGCTTTCGGGGTATATCATCGTACAAATATCAAAGAAGTATCGGGGGGGATATTATTGCCAAGTCTTCCGACCCCTATATTCGACTTTTTACTGTCTTGGAGTGTAGCTAAGCCCTAAATACTAAACCCTAAACCCCAAACCCAAAGCCCTAAACCCTAGACCCTAAACCGTAAACCCTAGAACCTAAACCGTAAACTTTGGGGAGTTGAAGCATCCGGTCCGGGTCCTTGAGGAAGATGCTGATACCCATGTCCTGCATCCAATGCTTCATGTTCTGGTACTGCGACTTGATCCTTTCCTGGGTTCTTGTAAAGGGGTTTAATTTCAGTTGCCATAGAAAAGAAACCATATTATACTTACTATAGATCCCTATTATGGTAACTTAAACCATATTATACGTACTCTAGATCCCTATGATGGTAATTTAGATTCATTCAGCTCACCAAAACCCAGCTTCTCTCGCGGTGTGGTTGTACTGCTGCAAGCTGAAGGTGCCCATGAGCTCCTCAGCTGCCCCGGGCTACCTTTAGGGTTTATAGGGTTTCGGGTT